GCGGGTGGGTCGCAGGTTCTTCACTTGGAACGAATGCAAAAGAAACCCGCCGCAGGCGCCGAAAATTGTGGGTGGGTCGCGGGGTGGGTCACGGGGTGGGTCGCGGGGTGGGTCGCGGGTGGGTCGCGGTGGGTCGCGTGAGGGTCGCGGGCGCGGTTTGGGTCGTGGGTGGGTCGCAGGTTCACCACCTGACACGAACGCAAGAGAATCCCGCCGCAGGCGCCGAAAATTGTGGGCGGGTCGCGGGGTCGGTCGCGGGTGGGTCGCGGGTGGCTCGCAGTGGGTCGCGGGTCGGTCGCGGGTGGGTCGCGGGTGGTCGCGGGTGGCTCGCAGTGGGTCGCGGTCGGTCGCGGGAGGGTCGCGGGTGGGTCGCGGGGTGGGTCGCGGGTGGGTCGCGGGGTGGGTCGCGGGGTGGGTCGCGGGCGGGTCGCGGGGTGGGTCGCGGGTGGGTCGCGGGTGGGTCGCGGTCGGGTCGCGGGGTGGGTCGCGGGCGGGTTGCGGGTGGGTCGCGGGGGGGTCGCGGGGTGGGTCGCGGGCGGGTCGCGGGTGGGTCGCGGTTTGGGTCGTGGGTGGGTCGCGGGTCGGGTCGTGGGTGGGACGACGGCAACAACAAACAACAAACAACAAACAACAAACATCAAACAACAAACAACAAACAACAATCACCAAACAGCAAACAACAGGCAACACACAGCAAACACCACACAAACAAACACATAACCAGACTAACTAACTAACTAACCTGTCACCAAACTAACAAATTAACAAACTACATCAACAACAACAACAACCACAACCACAACCACAACAACAACAACAACAACAACACCACCACCAACAACAACAACAACAACAACAACACCAACAGCATCAACAACAACAACAACAACACCAACACCAACCACAACATCAAACAGCAAACAACAAACAACAAACACCAAACAACAAATAACAAACAACAAACAACAAGCAACAACCAACAAACAACAAACAACAAACAACAAACAACAAACAACAAACAACAAACAACACACAACAACAACAACACCAACAACAACAACAACAATTACTAGCACGTGGGGACACTCCGTTCTCACCAGTGCCAGGGTTTTCATAGGAGGCGGGCAATACCCCCATTTTGTGGGGGGGCCGGTTCAAGCTCTACCAAATTTCCAAACGACTCTTCGCCACCACCCACACCCAGCTTCCCGCCCTATGACGTTCGGACACTTCACTTCGTGGCATGCGGACGACCGTGGCTACTATTCAGGGCCCCGCGGCCGACGACGACGGCGTGCGCGCGCGAAGAAAAAACGAATGTGTCCCGCATGGTATTATTTGACAGGGATGATGGCCCTGGCAGGTGCGCAACCGTTGTCGCAGAAGTTCGAAAAAGTTGCTCGCAAAAGCCCGTTTGACAGAAATGTTTAAAAAGTGTTGGGTTTCCTACGAATCCGCAAGAGCGCGCGGGATGAGATTTTGACAGTTTTTTGTTGAAAAACCATTGGTTTTTTGATGTTTTTATGTTAAAATCGCTGCGAACACTAAGGTTTTGGAAGGATTTCGTCTTGCGCGCGCGAATGTCCACTTTACCTTATTTTTTGCAAGGGATTCTTGAAATTTGATTATATTAGAACAAGAAATGTCATTTTCTATTGTTTTTTGCAAGGGAAAGCGGATTACAACAAAACAACCGGATCCTGTACACACCCTCTTTTCTGAGGCTTCCTCACGAAAATGATGAAAATGTAGCTGCGGCCTAGGCGGCGCAGGGGGGGCGCGCACCAGGGGGCCCAACAATAATTATTCTTTAGAATAAATAATGTTCAACAACAGCAACAGCAACTGCAACAAGAACAATATCAACAAGAATCCGCATCGCGGAAATCCACTTCAGCCACGCACCCAGGGACAGTGAATGACCGTTCGGTTCAGCCCCCCTCACTCTGACTCTGGATGCGATTTTTTAAACTATTTTCCCATATGTTCTATTACTACTGGGGTCTTTTTGTATGTTTCGTCCAATCTCCGCCTGTAGGGGGACACGCCCGACCTCAGCCTTCGCCTCTCCGATGCACCGTCGGCGGTGCCGGGCGAGGCAGTTCTGGGCTCGGGAGGTTCTTGGCGATCGTCGTCATATTATTTGTTTCGCCGATCGGCGCGGGCCCTCACACCCCCGCCCCCATGGAGTAGATCTTGGCTGTTTTGGGCGCTTATGTCAAGCAGGTGGAGTCTTCACCACAGGACGCCCTGTTGAAAACAGTCGCATTAAGCAGAGGTCCGGAGTCAGACCCCGGCCCTCCCCCCCTTCTGCCCAATGTCGAAATGCCGAATCAGAAAACGTTCACCTGGCAGGGGCAACGCTCGGGGGGGATAGGCGCAGGGGGGACGCATCGACTCCCAATCGCTCGTTGGTCGCCGACGGGGGCGCGATAGCCCATCCCGCCCATGGACATGCGAATTCGCCGTCAGGGGCCTATCGCCGATCTATCGGCCATGTGCCATCGATTTCAGGTCGACGTTCCCCCCCCCAGACGGTCTCCACATAGTGCTTCCCCACATCCTGAGATCCAGCCGCCATGGACCCCTGGACACACGCAGCACGACTGGCATTTCCGCCCCATCTCGGGCGAGGTGGGAACCCCTTGCGGACCGATCTTGCTCGCAGAGTCACGACTGACGGGTTGACCCAACAGGGGGTCCAGCAACAAGGAGGTGGTTGGTGCAATAGAGTTGGTGCAATAGATTTGTGGGGTTGCAATACATTTGGGGCGTGCAATACACTTCGGGGCGCAAATGTATTGCTGTAGTTTCGCGTCCAACACACTACTTGCAGTACAATGCAATACAATTCTCCGGCCAAATGCATTTGCAATACAATTGCCTCAAATCTATTGCACCACCCCCTTGAGGCCGGACCCCCTGTTGGGTCACCCAAAGACTGACATCTCCGCCCGCACTTGCTTCAGGACGTCTTGTGCAGGCGGTGTGGCCAGACGGCTGGCACCCTCTCGCACAGCTTGCACGCCTGCGACGGGTCGGAGGCTTGGCGTCGCGACCAAGGTCTCGAGGAGCTTGTTTCGATCGGTCGCGAGTTCGAAGGCAACCAATTTTAAGTCGGCCCTGTCCCTCTACAGGAGAAATATCAAAAAGTAATACAAAAATGGTCTGGGGACGATTTTGTCACTATTTTTGAACATGTTGGGTTTTTTTTGAGTATTGATCATTTTTCGCCCGAGATCACCCTCGTAGGGAGATAGGCCCGACCTAAAACCAATTAGTCGGACAGCCTGCGAGACGCCATGCCTCCGCCGTTGCTCGAGCACGAGGGTCCCCCTCGCGGCCTGCTGGGGTGTAGGTACATAGGAGTGGAGATGTTCATAGACGGATCCGGCATCAACCCGTGGGTGGAGTGGGTGACGGGAGCAGGTTGGGCAGTCGTTTCTCTCAAGCAGGGCAGCGAGCAGGTGTCGGCAGTTGCGTACGGCCCAGTCCTTGGAAAAGTTCAGTGTGCAGGCGTGGTTGAGTACTAAGCTTTTCACATGACCCTGTGCCTCATGGGGGCGAAGGCCACGATCGTGACAGATCACAAGAGCTTGCTCGTAGGTCTCCAGAAAGGCCCTGAGGTGATGCGTAGAGCTTCGGAGGCGTGCCGGGAAGTCCGGAGGCAGATGTTCTGGACGTTGGAGGACGTGGGGAGAGAAAACGTGCATCTCCAGTGGGTGCCGTCGCACAAGAGTAGGTCGTGGCTTCGAAATCCTGGTTTCTCGGGCTCGTGGTTTCCAGGAAACTTGCAGGCCGATAAGCACGCTAGGTCAGGAGCTCTGGACCATCCAGGAGCTCCCCAGATCGACCTGCGGCTAAACAGGCTGCTCCGAATCTCGGTAGGCAGTTTACGAGGCTCCCGGCAGGTTCCCTGAAACAGCTTGGCGAAGTAAGATGTCCCGATGCAGATAGGCTCCCGAGGGTCAAGAAGGTCCCCAGGAAGCCTCAGTCGCAAGGGAACGAGCTGGCGTTGGCGCCCCAGCTCACAGTTCCAGAGGGAGGCACAACGCTGAAGGGAGGCGGGGACGTCGAGCGTGCGGAGCAAACTGCGGCCCGGCGCAGCGTGATCATCAAGCGAGCGCGCCCTGGCATCCCAAGTGTGCTGGCCGGCACACACGATTCCCATAGAATGTGGGCGATCGGAGACGAGTTGTTCTTTTTGCATGCAGTGCGGGTGCCACGCGAGGAGGCAGGTCAAGGACTTGGCCTGGCGTGTGGCGTTGCCCGCATGCTGCAGGGACTGGGAAGGCGGGGGCCCTGAAGTCTATGCGCCGGGGCACAGATCCCACATGCAAGAAGTTTGTGGGGGCCCCCTTCCACATCCACAAATTCACCCGTTCGGGCCAGTCTTTTGAAGAGGGTCTGCGTCCGCAGAGGCTCCAGAGGCTTCAGAAGAGGTTGATGAGGAGGAGGAGGAGCAGCAGCAGCAGAAGGAGGAGGAAGAGGAGGAGGAAGAGGAGCAGGAGGGGACGAAGGAAAGGAGGAGGAGCAGCGGCAAGAGCAGGATTGGGAACAGCCCAAAACATGTTCTCCCTTTTTCCTCCTTCCTTTTTTTCCCTCCTGCATCCCTCCAGCTTCTCCCTCCTCCGGATTTAGCCTCCCCCATACCTCTTTCTCCATCCTCTTCCCTCCTCGAACATTGTTCCTCCTCTTCTCGACTGTCCTTATACTTATACTTGTTCCTCCTCCCTCCTCCGTCCGTCTTCTGCATCCTCACTCATTATCAATCCTTCCTGTTTTTTCTTCTTCTACACTGCGCCCCCTCTCTTCAGACATCCAGCAGCTAGGGAACATCGAGACGTCGATGGGCTTTCGGATCCCAGGGCCGCCAAACAAGAAGCCCACGGGATAATCAAAACGGCTCAAGATTCTCATTCCTTGAGGCCATAATTCTTGCATGCTATTCCTGCGTTCTCCTCCTCGTTCCCAGTTTGGTTCCTTCTCTCCCAATTTCCAGGACAGTTCCGCGAGCTCGTCCCCATCCTTAGCGCCCTCCGTCATCGAGGTGGGGTTCCCGCCAATTCTCGCTCACGGCCGGGCAACCGCCAAGGACGGGTGCCTGCAGTCAGGGTGGAAGCATTGGTCATTTGTTGTTTTGTCTTTCTCCTGCATCCCCTCCTATCCAGCCTCTCCTCCTGTTTTGTTCATCCTCCTGCTCCACCTTGTTCACCTTGTGAGTGTGCCTCCTCCTACCTTTCTGGTATCTTACCAGAGCCTGCGCCGGGTCGCGCCGCCAACTGGAGCGGAGGCGCGTGCCGTATACGAGTCCAGGGCAATGATCCTCCTCCTCCTCCTCCTTCTCCTCCTGGTTCCTGGCTCCTGTCGGCAAGAGTAATCGGTAAGCCTCCTCCTCCTCCTTCTCTTCCTCCTCCTCCTCCTCCTCCTCCTCCTCCTCCCCCTCCTCCTCCTCCTCCTCCTCCTCCTCCCCCTCCTCCTCCTCTCCCCCTCCTCTTCCTCCTCATCCTCCCCATTCCCCCTCCTCCACCTCCTCCTCCTCCTTCCCCCTCCTCCTCCTCCCCCTCCTCCTCCTCCTCCTCCTCCTCCTCCTTCTCATTGTGCTCTACTCTCGCTCCTGGTGCTCCTCCAGGCATCGCATTTTGGGCTTCTTTTGTGCCCATGCTGGCCGGCTTTACGAAAGACATCTGCGACCGTGGCCACGAGGGCCCTCCGGGGTGGAGCAACATGTCGGCGGGGCAGCGCCCAAAAAGTTCAGACCTCAATCCTCGATAATCCTTCAGGCGCACGACCGTGGCCGCGAGAACCATCTGGGGTGGCGCATCGCGTCGGAGGGGCAGCGCCCAAAACGTCAGACTTCGATCCTCGATGATCCTTCCCGCGCGCGACCGTGGCCACGACGGCCCCTCTGTCGTGGCCCAACATGTCTGCTGGGCAGTGCCCTAAGAGTGCAAACCTCGATCCTCGATGATCCTTCCCGCGTGCGACCGTGGCCACGAGAGCCCTCTCGGGCGGCCCAACATGCAGCGCCCAAGAAGTTCAAACCTCGATCCTGGATGATCCTTCCCGCGTGCGACCGTGGCCACGCCCCCCCTTCCGGGTGGCCCAAGACGTCGGCGGGGCCGCGCCCAAAAAGTTCAAATCTCGAGTCTCGATGATCATTCCCGCGCGCGGCCGTGGCCACGAGGCCCCTCAGGGGTGGCCCAACATGTCGGCGGGGCAGCGCCCGAACAGTTCAAACGTCGATCCTCGATGATCCTTCCGCTTGCGACCGTGGCCACGAGAACCCTCCCGGGTGGCGCAACATATCTGCGGGGCAGCGCCCAAAAAGTTCAAGCATCGATCTTCCATGATCCTTCCCGCGTGCGACCGCCGCCGCGAGGGCCCTCCCGCGTGGCCCATCATGTCGGCGGGGCAGCGCCCAAAAAGTTCAAACCTCGATCCTCGATGATCCTTCCCGCGCGCGACCGCGGCCACGAGACCCCTCCCGGTGGCGCAACATGTCGGCGGGGCAGCGCCCAAAACGTCAGACTTCGCCTCGATGATCCTTCCCGCGAACGACCCCGGCCACGAGACCCCTCCGGGGTGGCGCAACGTGTCGGTCGGGCAGTGCCCAAAAAGTTCAGACCTCGATCCTCGATAATCCTTTCCGCTTGCGACCGTGGCCACGAGAACCCTCTGGGGTGGCCAAACATTGCGGCGGGGCAGCGCCCGCAAAGTTCAAATCTCGACCCTCGATGATCCTTCCCGCGTACGACCGCTGCCGCGAGACCCCTCCCGTGTGGCGCAACATGTCGGCGTGGCAGCGCCCAAAAGTTCAAACCTCGATTCTCGATGATCCTTCTCGCGCACGACCGCGGCCATGAGAACCCCCTGGGGTGGCGCAACATTTCGGCGTGACAGCGCCCAAGAAGTTCAAATCTTGACCCTCGGTGATCCTTCCCGCGTGCGACCGTGGCCACGACAATCCCCTGGGGTGGCGCAACGCGTCGGCGGGGCAGCGCCCAACAAGTTCAAACCTCGACCTTCGATCTTCCTTCAGGCGCACGACCGTGGCCGCGAGAACCATCTGGGGTGGCGCATCGCGTCGGAGGAGCAATGCCCAAAAAGTTCAGACCTCGATCCTCAACGATCCTTCCCGCGAACGACCCCGACCACGAGACCCCTCTGGGGTGGCGCATCATGTCGGCGGGGCAGCGCCCAAAAAGTTCAAATCTCGATCCTCGGTGAGCCTTACCGCGTGCGGCCGTGGCCACGAGAACCCTCCAGGAAGGCGCAACGTGTCGGCGGGGCAGCGCCCAAAGAGTTCACATCTCGACCCTCGACGATCCTTCCCGCGCGCGACCGTGTCCGCGAGGACCCTCCGGGGTGGCGCGACATGTCGGCGGGGCAGCGCCCAAAAAGTTCAACCTTCGATCCTCGACGATCCTTCCAGCGATCGACCGTGGCCACGAGACCCCTCTGGGGTGGCCCAACATGTCGGTGGGGCAGCGCTCGAACAGTTCAAACGTCGATCTTCGATGATCCTTCCCGCATGCGACCGTGGCCACGAGAACCGTCCGGGGTGTCGCAACACGTCGGCGGGGCAGCGCCCAAAAAGTTCAAATCTCGACCCACGATGGTCCTTCCCGCGTGCGACCGCGGCCACGAGAACCCTCCGGAGTGGCGCAACATGTCGGCGGGGCCGCGCCCAAAAAGTTCAAACGTCGACCCTCGATGATCCTTCCCGCGCGCGGCCGTGGCCACGAGAACCGTCCGGGGTGGCCCAACATGTCGGCGTGGCAGCGCCCAAAAAGTTCAAATCTCGACCCTCGACGATCCACGAGATCCCTCCCGGGTGGCCCAAAATGTCGGCGGGGCAGCTCCCAAAAAGTTCAAATCTCGATCTTTGACGATCCTTCCTGCGTACGACCATGGCCACGAGACCCCTCCCGGGTGGCCCAACATGTCGGCGGGGCAGCGCCCAACAATTTTTAACCTCGATTCTCGATGATTCTTCCCGCGTGCAGCCGTGGCCACGAGGACCCCCTGGGTGGCCCAACATGTCGGCGTGGCAGCGCCCAAAAAGTTCGAATCTCAAGCCTCGATGATTATTATTCTCTCCCTTTCCCTCGCCTCATTTACCGCCTTGTATCTCGAACACGCTCCGCGTCATGTGCGCTGTGTATTGCCTGCGCTCAGCCACCGTTTGCGGTGAGCAGAGCCGTGCTGACAGGCTTCTGCTTCCTTCGTAGGCGCACGCGTTCCGCTCCCGTCGTGAGGGTCAAGAGCGCACGTATGTCTCGTTCCCGTCGTAGACACTCCGCTTCTCTTGTACCCCTTAGATCCAACTATATCTCGTCGTCGTCGTCCTCTTCCTCCACCTCCACCTCCTCCTCCTCCCTGCGTTCCTCCCCCTTCGTGGCTCCTTCTTTCCTGCACCTCCCTCACTCCCTTCCCATGACCATCTCCCCCTCCTCCCCACTACCCTCCCTCCTCCCCCCCTCCTATCCCCTGCTTCAGTTCAGTTCATTGTGGAAGCAGGCGTCGGTGCCGTCCGCCCCAAACATCAGAAAACTTTTTGCCGCCTCAAGCATCCGACAAGAAGGCCACACGTGGACAGAAGCTAGGAAGCGTCCCACTTCTCTGCCAAGGACCATCCACACATTCAGTGAGCTCGGCTGGCTCCTCACCCTCCGTGATCTGGACGCCCTTGTGCGACGACCGAATGAGTGCGACCAGGTCCGAGGGGGTGGGGGAACGATGGCACGTAACCGTCCACCCTCTAATACTGCCGAGCCCAGCTAGGGAAACTCCCTTTGGCGAACCTCGACCTCTGCTGCCTGAGGTCCTTGGTTGGCGGACGGCCTGGGCACAAAGAGGCAAGGGAGGCCACGCCTGACCAGGCATATCCTCCGCACTTCAGGCACGATACCACCCACCCGCTACCCCCCGCCCGACTTCCAGCAGCGACGAAAGCTATCCTTCTTGCACACATTGTGACACTGCAGACGGGTAAGGAGGGTGAGCTCAGACAGTTGCACTGGAGTCCCTGGAACAGCCTCCCAGGTGTCCGAAACAAGTGACACCGAAACTTCTCCTCACCCTCCTCGCCCCCTCCCCCTTTTACCACCTCCCTATCCCCATCCCCATCTCCACAGGTACACCTTATAAGCACTACTCTCCACCGACTCCATCTGGAAGAGGTCCTGCCCTTCTCGCACATGGTTTTCTTCATGCAGGATTGAACAGCACTGATTTCTTAGCATGTTTTGCTCAACTCCGATTGTTCCCAGGGTTCCACAATGGCTGGCACAGTGATGTTGCCGCAACAGCGTGGTCATCATCTTCAGATCGACGCGCTGCTGGCGACGTCAGATTGGCGATCTAGCATCTAGCCACAGCGCGGGCCACTTGTCTGGATCCGGGTCCTCGTTCTTCGTGGTTGCCTTGTCGCCTTCCCCTGCTCCTGCCTCCTGCGCCTCGTGCTCCTTCCGCTCCAGGTCCTGCTGCTGCTGTTCGTCCTCGTCCCCCTCCCTCATCCTCCTCTTCCTCCTGCTCATCCCCGTGCTCACACGCCAGCAACTCCTCCTCCTTCTCCTCGTTCTCCTTCGCATCATCCTACATACGTATTTCATTGCTTCGATCGCGCATAGCACGATGGGTATCTTTTCGAGTTCCAGGTCGGCGACGACATGCGCAATGGGAGGAGATGAGAGGGAGGAGATGGGAGGAGTTGGGAGAGACGGGAGGGAGGGATAGTTGGACGGGGCCAGGACGCGGATAAATCCGGTTCAGAGCATTCTGGAACTCTCTCAGTGCCTTCAGGACGATCTGAGATGGCCGCGGCGCTCAGAGGTTTCGGATCTGCCCTCCCCCGATGTTATCCTCGTCCCTGGCGTCGTCTGAGCTAGGATATCAGATGTGGCGTGAGCGCGCCTGGCTTGCCGCATCCCTCTTCCTCTTCCCTTCCCCAGGCGCCCAGACCTGGTTGCCCAAATTGGGGGCCTCTCCGGGACCCGCTCCTGCCGGGCGGGGGCTCCCCCCCTGGCGGACCCGCTCCCCCGCTTCCCCTTTGGCATCGCTCGGAGGTGTGCACGTTTCTCGGCGAGGATCGTCGGAAGCCGAGAACTGCACGGGAG